GTGGCGGGGCGGCGGGTGCAGGCAGTCAAGGCACAAAATCTGCGAGGCACGGGGTGGGACGTGTTGGCTAGCACGACACAGAGCAGAGATACAAAACAGGAAAGAACTTCTCTTAGAAATGCAAGGACCAGTGGCCGTGCTCCGTCCTGATCCTCCCACGATTAAGGCACCCGAGAGGGGCTCCCCCACCTCCCCTGCTGAAAGACAAGGCCGTCGGTGGGGAGTGCATAGTGGGGAGGGGTGCGCGTCCTCAGCCGGCGACTCAGGCCTGCACTCCGGTTGCCTTCTGGATCAGAGGGATCTGCAGGAGAAGAGCGGCAGGACAGGGACCCTGAGCGCAGCCATGGAGGGCTCCCGCCGGGGGGCCAGTCCCAGGGGGCCGTCCCTGCATCACTCTGGCATGCCCGTAGTCTCCCCTCTCTGGCCAAGAGGCATGGAGGAAACAGAGCCCCCCCATCCAACTCTTCAAGGGCTCTGACCTCCGGGGCAGGGGAAGACCGGTCTCCCCAAGGGCGCACGGTGGGACCCCAACTTCCGCAGCCATGCTCCCAAGGCCCCATTCAGCCGCTGTGTGCCCAGCTGCGACCCCCCCGGTCAAGGGCGGAGGGGGCTGCAAGGCAGCCCCGCTCCCCATCTCACCTTGGAGAGATCGACTCCGGTGAGGGCGTGCACAGACGCCGGGATCTCAGCCAAGAGCCGGTTCACGTCTGATGTCATTTTGTTGTTCTCTCCGCTGAGAATGACAATTTCGTCCACCTTGGACAGAGGGGCCGAGACCTTGGCGGCGATCTGCGGAGGACAGAGATGCTCATCAGCTCACCGGGGCCAAAAAGGGAGCTCCTGCCCCCCTGCCCAGGCCAGGGACTCACATGGGGCAGAGCGTCCAGCACCAACGCCATCTTGGCCGCCTCCCCATACTGCTGGTAGGCCTCTGCCTTGAGTTTCATCTTCTCGGCCTCCGCCTTGCCGATGGCCTTGATCACCAGGGCCTCCGCCTCGCCGATCTTGCGAATCTTCTCTCCTTCGGCATGGGCGATCAGCACCTGCTTCACCCTTTAGAGAGGGAGAGATGGGAGGGAACCCCCCCAACCTGAGGTGGCACTTGCGAGGGTCCAGGTGCCCCAGCAGCCTTCTCAGGCAGGGATTTTGGATGGCTGAGTCTCCCAAGGTGGGCATATTTTAAACAGCATTAGCTCAGGCCAAACTGAGAGCCTGTTTGGTGTTGTGGTGAAGGCGTCAGGCTAGAAACCAGGAGACGGTGAGTTCTAGTCCAGCCTGAGGCGCAAAGCCAGCTGGGTGACCTTGGGCCAGTCCCTCTCCCTCAGCCCTAGGAAGGTGGCAAGGGCAAACCACTTCCGAAAAACCTTGCCAAGAAAACTGCAGAGACCAGTCCAGGTAGTCTCCGAGAATCAGACACAACTGAATGGATTAAAAGGAAAAAAAAAAGCTCAGACCAGGGTTCCCACAGTCCAGGAGTGAAATGGGGGTGATCTTATAAATTTGAGAACATGAGGAGATTTGGGGTTATTCTTACTACAAAATAGGGGTGGGGGGAGACCCTGCAGACCATCGGCCCCTGCTGCAGAGCAAGGCAACCCTCTCCCGCCCTCCGCCACACACTCACTTTTCTCCCTCGGCGATCTCCTGCATGCGGTGCGCCTCGGCCTCTGCGGGCAGCCTCACGGTGGCGATGAGCTCCTTGTCCGTGCGGACGATCTCCTTCTCCTCCACATCGATCTGCCTCCTGCGCTGCACCACCTCGATCTCGATCTCCTCTTGGCGGATCTTCTGCTGCTCCTTGGCGCCCTGGAGCTCGTAGGCCAGCTGAGCCTCGGCAGACTGTCCGGAGAAGAAGGAGGTGACCACCAGAGAACGCCCGCTGCTACGTCTACCGGCTTGCCCAGGACCTGGAGCCCCGGGGGGAGCTTCCCAACTCTTCTCTTCCCTCCAACCCAGTTCTGTGGTCCAGGTTTCTCCCTGCCAACTAAACAGGATGTCTTCTGTTTGTGATTTTCCCACGCAAACTAATTCTTGCTGCCCCTTTGTTCTTCTGTTTGGCCCTGTCTCCCCACCATGGCTGGAACAACTAAAGCACAAAGAGAGCTTGCAGGAGAGGTCCTCAGGGCTTCCTGCGACACGCTTTCAGCCTTTGTTCCTCCTGAAGCTCCAAGCTTTTCCTCCACCCTCGCGAACGAAAGAGAAGCACACCTTCATGTTGATCTCTTGGCTGAAGGCCGCCTTCTGCATCTCAAAGGCCCGCCTGGAATCCGCCACCTTGGTGTCCGCCATGAACTTCACGTCAAGCATCTCTTTCTTGCACTCGGCCTCCTGCAGCGACAAGAAGCGCCCGTCCGGCTCAGTGGGGTCCCCCAGAGCCTCCAGGAAAGAGGGTGAGCGAGCCAAGTGGTTCAGCTCGCTCAACATACCCGGATGCCGGCATCTCGCTCTGCCTCGGCCACGCCTATATCAGCATCTCGCTGGACAACAGCGGTCTGGGTTTTTCCCAGGGAGCTCAGGTAGTTGACTTTGTCGTAGACATCCTGCAGGGGAAGGAAGATGGGTCAAAGCGAGCTCTGGCCTGGATACCCCTCAGGGGCGTGCAGAATGCCCCATCGGCACACTCTAGAAGCGACCGTCCCCAGAAACCTCTTCCTGGAATAGGAACTTCACCCAAGGGGGCATTTTGCACATTCCCCCTCTCCTCCCCCCCCCAGCCACACAACGCTCAATGCCCCTGGGAGCACTTCTGACACAGAATGACCCTTCCGTGGGCTAGGGCTTCCTGCCTCTCATCCCCTGGGCGGTGTAGCACTGGCCCTTGATTTGGGGCCGCAGGGCTTTATGGAAACAGAGCTCCGTACTGGCCTGCGGTGCTGCCCTGCTCACTGCCCTTGTTTCCTACCAGTCCCAAAGCCATTTGGTCCATACAGATTCAAAGTTCTCCTGGTCATAAAACAATGCCACAAGTAAGCCACATGGTGCACCAATGTGCCAGCAACATGGGCATCTGTGGCGGGTGGGAACCCGTGTAAGGAAAAGGGTGGGGCTGCGGCCACCGTGACGTTTTCGAGCCCCCCACGGACAGCTAGTGGCTTTCTTGTTGCCCACCAAGTTCTTGTCCTGTCTTCATTTTAAAAGATTCCTTGAGCTAAGAACAAAGGGGAAGCGGGAAGCAGCTGTGCCAATGCCCGGCATCTCCCTTCTTCCCCCCCAAGCAGTGGCTGCTGCACAGGCATTGGTAGGAAGCCCAACAGGGCTCCTTGGAGGGGTGCCTACCTGCCCAGACAGAAAGACCAAGGCAAGCTAAGGCTGTGGGGAGCACCTTGGAGGCTCTGGGGAAGGAATCCCCTCACCCAGCATAGCAACTGTTTTGCGCAAGCGCTCATACCCGGCTCTTAACATTCCAAGCTTGCCCACCGAATATCCCCAGGTGGGACACCCCACGCACCTCGGTGCTGTGTCCTGGAGTGACAATTGGCAGAACGGCTGGCCAGCAAGGTACCAGGCTGGGTTGGGGGACCAAAGGCCAGGCGGATGGTCCAGAAGGACCTAGCCCGAGAGTCATCGGATGTGCCCGAAGGCTGACTTTGCCCGATCCCCTCATACCTTGATAGTGAAGCTGAGGATCTCAATCCCCATCCTGCCCACGTCCGGCGCTGCCACCTCTCGCACTAGCTTCGCAAACTGGTCTCGGTCCTGATAAATCTGTTCGACCGTCAGAGTCCCTGCAAGGCAGAGAGAACTGATGGAGGAAACGCCACCCCAGCAGAGCAGCCGACAGGATGGAGAGGAGTAACTCTCAAGCGGCTCCACACTCGGCTCAGCAGGCCGTTACGAGGACGGAGGCTCCCTCGCGTCTTTCAGTGGTGTCTTTATCAAAGGAAAGAGAACATCTGTGAAAGAGGCTGAGAGCAGGACGTATACAGTGGGTACATTCAGGGGCTCTTTGACCACAAACGGAAAGATTTGCCATTGCCTTCTTTCAGGATATTTCTTCCAACTCCGCTGTCTAGCCAACAGCCCAGATCTCCTTGTGGTCTCTCGTCCAACACCGAAACAGAACCAACCTTGCTTAGCCGTTTCAGTACCAGCCAAGTTTACCTCTGGCTATTTACAGGCCATCACAAAGGACTTCTCTGGAAACTCAAACGTCAAGTTTTATATTCTGATTGCTTTTACAAATTTATTCTCCCCTTGAACATCCTACTTTTTAAGCACATTAGCAACGCTGACTTTTGCAGCTTCCCTTTCTGTACAGTTGTTTACAATCCCTTTTAAGAGCTGTTCTCAAGCGCCCCCCTCTCCAGGCACGGGGACGCCCTCTGTTCAGGGGGGGGAGCTGCACGGCTGGCTCAGCACTCCCCCCCATCTCCTCGGCGGTTCAGCCAGACCGTGGGGAGATGCGGGAGGCGAGGCCGCTGGCACCTCGTTCACTTCTGGAAGACCTGCCCAAGTTCAGACAAGTCTGCTGGCATCTCCAGCTCCTGCTGCTGAGAGAAGGGAGGCAGCTTGGAACTTTCCCCACCTCCAGGAGACCCCTGCGAAACCCTCGGCCGGGCACGGGGGGCGTCCCTACGTCCTCCAGGGGAGCATCTCCACCAACCTGCGGGAGCAGGAAAGAGGAAGAGCCTGCGTCTTGCAACGCTGGCTGGCGAGTTCCCATCCCAAGACACCTGGATTGGCCTGGCTGGGATGGCCCCACAAGCTACACTGGGCCAAAAGGGAGGGGGCAGTTTGTGGTTCGGCTATTGTGCTTTGCAAGCCGCTCCGTTTATCTATTTCAAGCTTTATAAGGCCACCCAACTCAGGCAGTGTGACTCTGGGCAGCGTACAAGATAAATACACAATAAATCAAGCAGGAGGAGGAGGAGGAGGAGGAGGAAACTAACAACAAACAATCAATACAAAAGCTAAAATGGAAGCCAAGCACACAACAAAACAGCCGGCGGGGGGGGGGGGGGGGGACTCCCACTCCACTGACCTCTAATGCTGTAATAGTTTCTCTAAGGGGAAAAACATTTCAGGAGAACACAGGAATGACGTTTTGTAACACAGAGGTAGACTTATGCGTGCAGCCAGCCTCACCTGTGCAGCAGAGCCCGCTTGCTTGCAAAAGACCCCCAATTCTGTCCCTTCCACTCAACTTCACGGATCGGGCATCAAGACGGGGGCCTGTCAGCCTGAAAGACAGATGCTTCTCAAGGCCCCAGACCCTCTGGGACCCCGCTGAATGCCTCGTTCCAAACCGATTCCGTGCTGACTTCTAAAGAAGCCAGACAGACCTTTCTCCAACTAACAAATCTTCTTCAAAGGCATAACTTTTTGTGACCTGCAGCTTCTGCCTTTGAATATAATTTGTTAGTCAAAAAAAGGGTTACCGGACTCCTGTCGATTTTTGGCTACTGCAGGGTAAGCCAGCTCTCCTCCTCCAACGTCTGCGGACTTCTAGTAATTACCAGTTTATTTTCAAAATGCTTACAATCTCTAGACCAGTGTTTCTCAACCTTTTGGAAAAATTAATAATTGTGGTGGGTCGTCTCCATCTCATAGACACTCCACCCCCTGGCCCCCCTGCTGGCGGGAGGGGGTGTTG